GCAGCAACCCGTCTCAATAATCCAATTTTCAGACAATTCAAACTTTCAATGGGGGCCCAAATGACATTATTTCATGACTTCCCAGGCACAAGAAACTTCAACTGCACATGTTTTATAATTCCAACCAACCCCCTCCCATAAAATAAATAAATTTAAAAATAATATAAACATTAAAAGAAGAAGAAAGTAAAATAATTATGCACCAAACAAACAAACTCCAACACATCTGAGTTATCAGGCATCACGCAGAATTACCATCTCTCCGAACGAATGTACTCATATTCGAATTCACTTCTTTCTAATTTGTCAGAAATTTAGGGGTGGACAAAAAATCAACCAATCCGCAAACTCGATCCGATCCGTACGGATCGGATCTGATTACCAGATCCAGGGATCGGTGGCGGATTTTAAAAAATTAAATCCTTAGTTCACGGATCGGATCACGGATTAGGTTGTCAAAAATTCAATCCGATCCGTGGCAATCCGTGGGTAATTCGTAAAATATATATATATAATATTAATATATAACAACTCTGTGGCAATCCGTGTGCCACATATCATTTTTTTTGGTAACTAATTAAGTATTATACATATTAATATATTACACACTGATATAAAACATATTAGTATTTTTTTTGATAACTAATTAAGTGTTTTTTTGGATAATTTGGATAACTACTGTCCTTTTGGTTATGCAATATTTTACAGTTTGATTATTCTTGTTATTATGCATTTAAATTGGGTTAATCTATGTTCTATTATACACTTTTGTAATTGGATATGAAATTGGTAAAAAATTAAAAATAGATTAATTTGGATAATTCAGTCCGCGGATTGGATCCGATCCGATCCGTGAATTCACGGATCCCATCTGATCCATAAACTAACAGATTGATGGCGGATTCAAAATTCCCTAATCCGTTATGAGCGGATCGGATTAGAATTGATGCATAATCTGATCCGATTCGATTCGTGGTCACCCCCACAGAAATCTACTCTTAAAAAATAATATTACCATGCGGTTGGTGGACTTTCACAATACTTAATTTCAATCATGCTTGTGGTTTAGCACAAAATTTTAAAAGGAATTCATACATGGTAGTCGTAATTGATATGACACAATTGACCAATCTAATCCTCCTCACAAGATAACTGTAGCTTACTATTCAAATCCAGTTAATACTTTAATAAAGAGAGATGGCATATAGTCCAACATCATGGACTATGAATAGTGAAGTCCCATATAGCTTTCCACATCCATTGAATTCTTGGTAAAATACAGTATAGATTTGCTAATGTTATAATTCGTATTATATAAGTGTTAAAACTCTTGACACAATTATTGGAACAAGAAGGACAAATTAAAGAATAGTATTGTAGAAACATGTGGGTAGGTATGGTTTCTTTGACTGCCCTAAAAAAACACACAAGGTTTGAATTTTTTTAGCACACCTCTTCCTTTTTATTTAACCATATTATAAATAGGATTTGTCATTTTTAAGATCCATTAATTATTGGGAAGTGCTTTCACGTGAACTTGGTTCCTAAATCGTGAATTTTTTTTTAATTTAATGATGACTTTAAGAGTATAGTGTAATGACAAAGACGTTTATTTCATATTTTGGAGGTCGAAAATTTAAATCCTCTTAAAACTATCAAAAGAAAAATCAATGATACAAAGTCGCATACTCATAGATCAAGGGTTGTGGTTTAGTGAAAAATATATTTGGTGTGTTCGGTGCATCGTGCATCGAGACATTAGAATGTCATTCATTCTCGTGCATGTTATGCATGAATAGTTCTGACATGCTTAATGCACGATACAGTGAGAACATTAAATATTTTTTTAATTTAGTGATACTTTTTACCGTATAAGATAAAATATCAATGATTTAAGCCTCATAAGGAGAAAAAATGAGTGTCTTTCCTGGTTAAGGAAAAACAAAAAAAAAAAAAAAAAAAAAAAAAAAAATAGTAATGTGTGAAAAGCATATCATTTGTTTTTTTTCTTGGAAAACTCCCAATCTTCGAGGACGAGGACACAAGGGAAGCTATCTAGGGTAAAATTGTAATGTAAGGGCCTGTTTGAGTTTTGTTCTGTGGTGTGGCGTATTGTTCCCAACAGTGCTACAGTAGTACTATTGAGCATTATTGAGGAACAAAACATGTTTAGCGTAGGTTATGCTGGTTTGAACAGTATCAGAACACTTTGCACTGTTTGGGCCAAATGTTGGAACAAAAAAAACTTGTTCCAAGTGTTCTGCCTCCATCTCTATTCTCGTCTCAACTCTGAACTTACCAGTCTCTCTCTCTTTTTCTCTCTCTCTCTCTCCAACTGCAAACCTGTAGGGGTTTTGTTTTAATTTTTTTTAGGGCAAATCATTCAGCCTCCTAAATGCCTCAATCTCTATTCTCTCTCTCCCTCTTCGCCGGCGCCAAGCCAGTCGTCTCCACCGGATCCTCACAGCTCATGGCCGGATCTGGATTCTCAATGATGAACTTGCCCTAGTCTCTCTTTCGATCTCTCTCTGCAACTACAAACTTTTGATACCCAATACCATATATAGCAAATTGAGTTGTTTCGGAAACCTTTTTGGGTATTTTCCTTTGAGAGACGGGATGTAGGGCACGGTTTTTGCCATTTTCGATCTCTTCAACCCTAACCAACCAGGGAATGAAAATTGGAGTGTTTGGTTTGGGGTTTTGTTGATTGGGCTGTTGGAGGAGGTAGATGGTGGTTTCGGTGAGAGAGAAGAAACCGTCACGTTTGGCTTTTCGACCTAGGACAAGATGGTTGCGATTGGTGGGGGAAGGAGCAAGGAGAGGCAGAGGAGACGGTTGCCATTTTTGTTCTCTGATACGAATTTTTTTTGAAGATGAAGCCAACTCTAGGGTTTCTGTGACTAATTAATGATCAACGCTAGACTTCCCTTTTTTTTTTTAGGGCAAATCATTTCAGCCTCCCAATTGCCCTAGTCTCTCTGTCTCTGCAACTGCAATTCTGTGTGGTGTATAGTTTTTGTTTTAATTTTTTTTCTAAATCAACTAATCAAGCTCTGCAATTCTTGTTTTGCAAACTAATCAAGTGAAGTAATTAATTTATTTTAATCATTAAAAAAAATTATAATAATTTCTATTCCAAAATTTTCAGTGCAAATTTTTGTCGCCAAACATGTTTTGTTCTCCTCTCAAAACACTACACCACACAACACTTATTCTGTTCTAGGCTAAAACACTACACTACACCACACTACAAATTCCAAACAGGCCCTAAGTATTGAGAATATTTGATAAGCAGCCGTTTTGTTTTTAACTTTTTACTAAAGGCCACATGGTGGACATGCAAAATTTGCTGCTTGCTAAAGTGTTTTGGTGTGGTCTTGATCTACAAGAGCACCCACGGGATTCGAAAAATTCCACTAGAGGACAACGGGCATCTAGTCAGCTTGGTATCGTTGCTTATTGACCCGATTTTGTTTGACTCATTTCCAACGGGCAAATTTAATTATGCCCAAGCACAGTAAAATAATCACCAACTAACCTCGTGGTATATATGATATCGGTATCTAGCATAATATATATACTGTTAAATTTGAGTTTAAAATATATAATTTTTCTTGTTCAAATTGCCTCTTTTACGTTAAACTCATACACTTATTTATTTCTATTCAAAGAAATTTAATTTAATTTTTATTAAATTAGTAAATATAAAGGTTTATAGTCATACTAACGGTAATAAGGGTCATTTGTCCCATATCAGATTTAGATGAAAAAGTTATTAGATATAAATTGGTAAGTATGTAGTACTATTCAACCGTTTGAGTTTTTAGGTAAATGGATAAGCGTCCACCCATTACAGTTGGTATAAAAATCAGGTTCAGTCCTTGATCTGGTGTCATGCCAAGCGTTCGGGTGAGCACCCCGGATGGGCAAAGTGGCCCGTATCACAACGAGAGTGTTGCTAGTTTTGGTGGGGGAGAAACAAGGGTCATTTGTTCTATATTGAATTCGGATGAGAAAATAATTGAGTATAAATGGATGGGTATAAGCACTTGTCCATTTATAAAAAAATTCAAGTTTTTTTGAATAAATAGATAAGTGCCAACCCATTACACTAATCCACTAAACTAGTGAAACATTTGCCAACAAATAAGTGTATGATCTGCTTATAAAAATAAAAATGTACTAGTAACATTTAATGAAATTAATTCCACCTATAAAAAAATTACTCCATATATTTTTATTAAACGGATGTACCAATAACGCAATACACTGCACCGTATATCTACTCCCCTTTATGATATCTATATTCTTCTTCTCTACCTTGAAGCTTCTTCTTACTTCCGGACTTGTTTGATTGCACGTGCTTTGACCAAAGAGATTGTTCCACGTGAGATGAATTGACAGGGGAGGACATAATCCATGAATCGCATGCTCGTGGGGCTGGCTACTTTATTAGGAATTTTCTCTTAACATGTGAAAATTCATTGGGACGAAAAATCCACTTGTACTATTCTTTTTCCTTTTTATTTTTTATTTTTTTTTGGGTAAAATACTAGTATATTTTTTTATTATAATAAAATATTAATAATAAAAATCTTACATTTTAGAGGTTAAGAGTTCAAATTTTAATGGGAGACTTCCAAAACTTGCTCGGTATGTATAGAATGGAATAATTATGTGTATTTTTTTGATAAATTATATAGTGTTCAAAGAGGTTAAGGTATATATATATATATATATAAAATAAATTTAGTCAAAACCAACCGATTGACTAAGAATAAAATAAACATGCATGATATTACAGTAATTTGGTATCCTTAATGATGAATCCACCACATATTCACCGTTGTTAAACACGAAATATAATATATAATGCTAAAATAACTGACTTGTCTACTACCGATCGATCTTACCAAATTACGTGCCGTTTACGACAACAAACACACAAGCATAAAGTACTGCTGGAGGCTAGCCATCAAGCCGCCTCAGTACTATTTAATCACATCCACCCTTTATAACCACAGAACCCCATTTATTCTTCTCACTTCCACAAACCTCCCTTTTATTTCTCTCTCTACCTTTCACACAGTGACACACACACACATATGGAGATCAATTATCCGAAACTGTTTCAAACTTCATCTTCAGCATCATCAGCTTCCCACTTGTCATTAAACCTGCCTTATCCCCATGATTATACTGAATTTCAGGTCAACAAACCATCAAATAATGGTTTCTTGGGGTTGATGGCTAATATGGGAGTTCCAAGCAGTAATTCAGATGTCAACGATGTCGTTTCATCTCAGAACAAAAGCTTTGTGGGGAGTACTACTGAAAGTACTGATGATGCCACCAAGTATTCAGGGAAGAAGAAGGTGGAGAAGAAGATCAGGAAGCCTAGATATGCTTTTCAAACAAGGAGTCAAGTTGATATTCTTGACGATGGCTACAGATGGAGAAAATATGGACAAAAAGCTGTCAAGAACAATAAATTCCCCAGGTATTTAATTTTTGATCGATTGACTTATTTATATACATATATATATATATATAGCTTCTTTGATAGCAATTTCATGTATTCATCATCCTGGTGCATGCATTTTACTTCTGATCACAACCAAAGTTTTGAGTCATGACTAGATCTAGATCGACCGTTTTCGCGAGTGCTATAATTAATTTTCTTTAATTTTGAGTTTGGTACAGTAAACAAAGTTCAATAAATAGAAATGACATCCGGAGGGCAATCAAGATAGTACTCAAGTTCACCAAAACTATATCGTTTCGATTCACAGGAATCGAAATGATGTAATTTTGGTGAACTTGATGTGCATAGGATCCCCTCCGCTGGAGGAGGACATACTAATTAATTAAACCATGGTAGAGGAAAGAAAGAAAGTTACTATTGAACCCCTTCTTCATTTGTCATGCCTATTTAGATTGTATATTTGGTGATTGAACCTTTGGTTAAATCTTGATTAGGGAATCATAATGAATCTTTACCTGCAGGTTGCATAGCTCTAGTTAGTTTGCAAGGCATTGGTTAATTAACTTAACCACATGTAGATGTTTCTTAAGATATATATAGAGGTCCTTCCGTACAACCTTCATTTCTACCAACCCTACTTTCATTTTTCTTCTATTTCCCGGGACCCCAATGCTCCATTTCATTAAAAGGTTGCAAGTTAGTTCATAGAAACCTTGTAATTTAATTAGTGATTTTGAGATTCTCCGATGATGATGACGTAGTCCTTCATGACTTACAACTGCAATGATCTCTTCAAACCGTACTAAATGGATCAATGGTCGTAACATGATATAAACAAATCCTGTCATTCCAATATTACTGCGTGCTATAGTCAACAATATAGATTAATATTTGATTCCATTTGAAATACTTTATAGTTTATACACAATACCATGCAATTTGGATAATAGATAAGCTGTATTCACATGATATTCTATTTGTCTCACGCAATGACAAAGTGACAAACTAATGATTCATAACATGAAAAACTAAACAATTCTTCTTTTCAGTTTGAAAGCACGGACCACATTCTTAGAAGAGGTCCATAAAATACTGTCATATATAACTTTATTGTCTAGATATGGTTGAAATCCATACACCAAAGATTTAAAGTAACTACAGTAAATTATATATATACATATATATATATATATATATTGGTAGGTAAGAATTATATTACATGATGAGCTGAATGTGCAAGTTAAACATTTTTTTGCTGTTTGTTGTTTACAGAAGCTACTACAGATGTACACATCAAGGGTGCAGCGTGAAGAAGCAAGTTCAACGCGTGTCTAAAGATGAAGGAGTAGTTGTGACAACTTATGAAGGAATGCATTCACATCCGATTGAGAAGTCTACCGATAACTTTGAACATATATTGAGCCAGATGCAAATTTATGCTAATAATTCATTTTAAGTTTCAAGTTGAAGATCAAATATTAGACAAAGAATATTAGTCTGTATAATGTATTTGTTTAAATTATATCATATATGTAATAAAATTGCATCAGGGAGAGATATATGTTAGGCTCACATGTACAACTGACAAGTAATGGTTTGTTTGTTTGTTTGTTTTTTTTTTTTTTTTGGTTAGTTTGGTTTCATGTCATTCTTATATATTTTCATTTCATTTAAAGCAAACATGGGTTGTTTTTGGTAAGAAAAACATGGGCTGCTGTTAATATGGAGAATTTGAAATTGGATTTGGAAACATGCTTGACAGTGCCAGCATTGGCCTTTTGGCTGTATTTGACAAGTTGAGCTACTGTATTAATATTGTATGGTTAATTTTTAATACCTTCCGGCTCCATTTGTTTGAATGTAAAATGTTTTTTTTTTTTTTTTTGTAAAATATTTTATAAACAAAACATTTGCGTGTAAAATGTTCTTTTTATTTTTTGGTGTTTGGCAACAATCCGTAAAATATTTTTTAGATCAGTTTTTGTACACAATTAACTCTCTCTTTCTTTAGTATTCCTCACCGACAGGGAATAATACCCGCAATTAACTATCTATCTTTCTTCAATATTGTTCCTCACCAATAGGGAATAGTACCCCTAAACCATCACCCTCTCCTTGTTACTTTCTCTCTCTTTACTCTAAACCATCCCTCCCTCTCCTTATTGTTACTTTCTCTCTTCACTCTCTATCTATACCAAAACATGCTCTCAATCCAGTTTTTCGACCGACTTCAATTTGTATCCATCTTTCTCTCTTATCTCACTCTATGTATAAATATAGGGAGAGAAACTAAATATTAGATTGCTAGATTGGGAAGACTGAAAAAGATTAATTGTTAGAGGGACATAGGGGTTCAATAAGAATATTGATAGTTGGATGACCCAAGGAAGTGTTAGAGTTGCACTGCAAAATCAACCGGATTTGATACCAGTTGTTGTGGCGGAAACGCAAAATAAACAATGTTATTCAATGAATAAATAAGCAATCACAAAGAATAAAAAAATCACACACAAGAATACAAGATATACATGGTTCACCCAAATCTTAGGTCCATGGAGCACATCGAACAAATTTACTATGAAGAAGATGAAGAATTACAATAGAAAATTTTCTCTCAATTGTTCTCTCTTATGTTGGCACAAATTTATCTCTAACTCTCACACACTCTAAAATTTGATTAGAGTTGATATTTATAGAATCCTAAACTTGTCCTACAAGAACTTGTTTTTTGTAGAATCCAAAACCAATAAGAAAGTTAAATCAGATTAGAAAACTGAATTTTCCTTAAACCAATAAGGAAGTTAAATCAGATCAGGAAACTGAATTTTTCCTAAACTTCAATACTCTTGAAGTTTCCATATAATTATATCTTCCTAAAAAATAATTACCTAATAAGACTCCACAAAACCACAACAATCTCCCACTTGGAGGCTGGAGCACTTGTAAACACATTCTATCTTCTTCTCATGTATGTCCCATACATGTCGGTGCGCTTCTCTCTGTCTTCAAATTAGAAGACCGACTGAAGTTGCACATAACTTCAGTTTCTCCATAGTCACTGTCTTGGTCAATATACCAGTCGGATTCTTGGTGCCAAGTATTTTCTCAAGTGTCAACACCCCATCTTCTAACAAAGATTTGATAAAAGTGATACCGAAGTCCTATATGCTCGGTTCTTGAATGAAATGCTGAATTATTTGCCAGATGTATCGCACTCTGACTATCACTATGCAAAACATTATTCACCTGTTCGAATCCCAACTTTGTCAACAAACCTTGTAACCAAATCATCTCCTTACTGGCTTCTGTCATTGCAACATACTCTGCCTCTGTAGTAGATAACACTACAATCCTCTGTATTTGCGAAACCCAACTAACTGTAGTTGTACCCATCATGAACACATACCCGGTAGTACTTCTTTTGTGGTCTACCTCACGGCAAAGTCTTAATCTATATAACCATGTAACTTTACTCCGCCCCTTCTGAAATATAAACATCTGTCTGTGGTACCCCGTAGATATCTTAATATTCACTTTACTGCTTCCTAGTGTAGCTTGCCCGGATCCTTTATGAACCTGCTTACTACTCCCACTACATATGCAATGTCCGGTCTTGTACACATCATGACATACATCAAACTTCCAATGGCTGAGGCATATGGAATTTTAGTCATGAAGTTTTTCTCATCCTCTGTCTTCGAACATTAATTTGAGATAATCAGAAGTGATTAGCTAAGGGAGTACTCATCACCTTAGTATTATTCAAGTTGAACCTCTTCAGAACCAGTTCAACGTACTCAGCCTAAAACAATTGCAAAGTACATTTCTGTTTGTCTCTGCTAATCCTCAACGTTAGAATTTACTTCGCTGCACCAAGATCTTTCATCTCGAATTCACTAGACAACTGCTTCTTCAATTTGCTAATTTCTTCAAAATCAGAACCTGCCACTAACATGTCATCAATATAAAATAGAAGGATAATGAAACTTAACTTAAACCTCTTGAAGTAGTAGTAATGGTCAGCGTTACTCTTGTTGTAGCTATGTCGCTTTATAAAACCATTAAACTTCTTATACCACTGCCTCGAGGCTTGCTTCAAACCATATAAGCTTTTCTTTAACTTGCACACTAGTTTCTCTTTCTTTTTGACTGAGAAACCCTCCGGTTGTTGCATATAAATCTCCTCATCTAGGTCACCATGGAAGAAAGCAGTTTTGACATCTAACTGCTCAAGGTGCAACCCCTCTGCTACAACTATGCTAAGAACTGAGCAAATGGTACTCGGTTTCACAACCGGGGAAAAAAGGTCTGTGTAATCAATGCCTTACTTTTGCTGAAAGCCTTTTACCACCATTCTCGCATTGTATCTTTTGGAATCGTCATGTTCCTCTTTTACCTTGTACACCCATTTATTGTGAAGAGCTTTCTTCCCCATAGTCAACTTAGCTAGTTCCCATGTTTTGTTAGAGATAAGGGACTTCATCTCATCTTCCATTGCAAGCTCTCACTTACTAACATCTTCAACTTGACATGCTTCATCATAACATTCAGGCTCACCATCATCTGTAAGCAACATATAATCCAAATATTTCATGTACATGAGGTCGCATTGACCTTTTGGGTGCAGGCTTAGGAGTTGGAATCCGCGGTGAACTATGCTCTGTGAGTTCTGGCTAAGAACCCTCATTTGTCTGCTCCGTGTCAATGCTATCTGGATCATCATTCATCTCAACAAACTCAGGCTTATTTTGTATAGGACTAGTTGACTGTGTTGCATCTCTATCCTTATACATCACCTTCTCATTAAAAATCACATCTCTACTTCTGATGATTTTCTTGTTCTGATTATCCCAGAGTTGATAACCAAACTTATATCCACTATACCAAACAAAGATGCATTTTAGTGACTTGGGGTCGAGCTTTCCCCTAACATGGTGACTAATATGCGCATATGCAATACAACAAAAAACTTTCAACCATGAAAGATTTACCTCTTTGCCACTTTATACCTCTTCTAGTATTCGATGCTCCAAAGGCACCGATGGTCTACGATTAATTAGGTAGGATGCTGTATTTATCGTTTCTGCCCAAAACTGTTTGGGTAGACCCGAATGTATGCGCATGCTTCTAGCTCTCTCTGTCAATGTTTTATTTATCCGTTCTGCCACCCCATTCTGCTATGGGGTTCCTTACCCAGTCTACTCTAATCTGATCCCATTATCAAAATAGAATTTCTTGAACCCAGTGTATTCATACTCACCACCATTGTCTGACCTCAACCTCTTGATCTTCAAACCCATCTCATTATCCACCATGGTCTTCCATTTCTTGAACACATCAAATACTTCATATTTATGCTTCAAAAAATAAACCCATACCTTCCTTGTGTGATCATCAATAAAAGTCACGAAGTAGGATTTTTCGCCAATGGATGAGACAGTGGATGGCCCCCAGACATCTGTGTGAACTAACTCAAATTTCTCCTTTCTGAGATCTCTGCCACTCTTCTTAAAACTGACCATCTTCTGCTTTTCCACCACGCAACTCTCACAGAAGTCAATATCAATTACCCGTATGCCTGGTAGTTTTCCCTTTGAGTTTCATTCATGTGACCCAGTCTCTGGTGCCAAAGGTTGCAATCTTCTCTGTTTTCTGCAACTGTTATAGACCCACAAGTACTGGTAGTTATGTAGAGAGTGCCAAATTTCTTACCACGTGCAATGGTCATAGCGCCTCTAGAAACTTTCTACGAGTTTCCATTGAAAGTTATAACAAAACCTTTATCTGACAATTGTCCCACCGAAATCAGATTATTCCTCAAGTCAGAGATGCGTCTCACATCCTTCAACTTCCAAATTGATCCATTTAACTTGATTTGCACTTCACCCTTGCCAACGACACTGCAAGGTTGATCATCACCAAGATACACCTTGCCAAGGTTACCTGGTTCATAACTATTAAATAGCTCTTTGCTTGAGGTGCCATGAAAAGATGTGCCAGAATCTTAAACCCATGACTCCGCATTGCACTCCAAATAGCATATCCATGCATCATCTGATTCTTTTGAGACAACGTTTACTTCAGTTTTTCTTTCGGTTCTTTTCTTTGGAAGTCTGCAATCAACACGGTAATGTCCCTTGTTTTCCACAATTCTAACACTCAATATCACTGAGATCTGTGGAATTCCTGAAATTTTGAGACTGTGTCCTTCTATTCCTTGACTTGGATTTGCCTCTATTTCTATTATTGTTGCCGTTCTTCTTGTTTGAACCCTTACCTCTGCTTTCAACATTCAATGCCGAACCACTGGTGGAAACCCCTGCTGTTTGCCTTCTGATTTTTTCAGTCAGAATCATGCTCACAACTTCATCAAATATCAACTTAGTCTTCCCTGCAGAGCTATTGATCGCTGTAACCGTGCCACTCCAACTCTCGGGTAACTGCCCTAGAATCAGTAGTGCTCGGACCTCGTCTTTGAAGTCGATATCAACAGACTTTAATTGCCCAATTATCTCATTGAACGCATTTAGATGTTCGTTGAACTTACCACCTTCGACCATCTTTATTTTGAACAACTTCTTGATTAAGTGCACCTTGTTCGCTACAGAAGGCTGTTCATACATACTAGAAAGGGCTGCCATGAGAGACATCGTCATCTTCTCGTTCTTGATGTTGAAGGCGATTGACTTTGACAATGTCGATATGATGATGCCAAGAGCTTTCCTATCAAGTAATTCTCATTCTGCATCCTTTGTATCCTCTGGTTTCTTTCCTAAAAGTTGATATGGATTTTTCTGAAACAAGAGGTCTTCTATTTGCATTTTCCAGAAACCGAAGTTTGTGCTATCAAACTTCTTGATCATGGATGTGGATGTCTTATTTTCTGATGCCATTACTCCCACTCGAACGGACAGGTTTGATCGAAAAACTTTCGAAATTTCGTCAAATATGTGCCCTAGGTTTTCAACCAAAGGCTCTGATACCAGTTGTTAGAGTTGCACTGCACAATCAACCGGATTTAATACCAGTTGTTGTGACAGAAACGCAAAATAACCAACAATATTCAAGAAATAAACAAACAATCACAAAGAATAAAAAAATCACACACAAAAATACAAGATATACATGATTCACCCAAATCTTAGGGTTACGTCCATGGAACACACTGAACAAATTCACTATGAAGAATGTGAATAATTACAATGGAGAATTTTCTCTCAATTGCTATCTCTTATTTTTGCACAAATTTATCTCTAACTCTCACACACTCTAAAATCTGATTAGTGTTAATATTTATAGAGTCCCAAACTTGTCCTACAAGAACTTACCTTTTATAGAATCCAAAAAAGGAAGTTAAATCAGATCAGGAAACTGAATTTTTCCTAAACTTCCGTAATCTTGAAGTTTTTATATAATTATATCTTCTTAAAAAATAATTATCTAATCAGACTGCATAAAATCACAACAGGTAACATGTGAAAAATGACTTGCGAAAACTTTTTTGATAAATCATTTTCAGTTATTTGAAGGTAAAATAATTTACGTGAAAAAATAATTTTCTAACATTGGAGTCTCCCAAATATAAAAAAAATGAAAAAAATAATTTTTAAAAAATATTTAGCGCCCAAACAAACACCTAAATTCTATACACTTGTTTTATCTTTTGTTTATAATTTGGCTTATTAATAATAATAATAATAATGACGATGAAGAAGATGATGGTACGGAATGCTGGACTATTGATATTGACTTTGAATATGTATCAATAATCTTAAATCTTCACTCAACCAGAAGAACACATCACATCACTCTGGGAGTCTGGGACATTAGCGAAATCGTGCCTCAATACAGATTCATATTATTCTTGTTTTTGAAAGAAAGTTTGTTACATGGTTGGTTAGCTGTCCTCTCATGAAATATTAAGTCTTTGATTATAAATTTGTTTGAATGTAATTAATTTTTTAGAATTTATGATAACAAATATAATTTAAATTATATCAAATTCGTATGAAGAATCACTTTACACACTAATATAATGAATTAATTCGGACGAACCCAAACACCTCAGTTATCATAAAAAATAAAAAATAAAAGTTTGGTGCAAACTTCCTTCCAAAGGTCACATCTCGTTTAATGGTACCCACACGGTGTTCATATTGACTACAAATTCATGGAATAACATTCCTTAGTTTATGTACTACCTTTGTGTGGCCAAGTGCTTGACACGGACCGACAAACGTGTTCTATTTGCTCCCACTAGCCACTGTTTTTTCTTTGGCTAAAGTGCGTGCGCGTGTGTGTATATATATATATATATATATATATATATATACAATTCAGAAGCCCACACAGTCACACACCGTGGCAACCATAATATCCCTATACTGTATTTTTTTTAAAAATGAATCAAACAGAAAGCTAGATGGTATGATTTTTCCACTCTATAAAAGAGATTGAGCATTTAAATCTTTTTTAGACAATATTGCGACTCTTGAAAGAACTTGAGAGTTCAAGTTCTTTCGACAATATTATATGACTTTGGAAAAAAAAATTGAGAGTTCAAGTCCTATTAAAAACAATATTGTGACCGCGAATGTGTCCAGTGGCCTTACCCAAGGCCAAGGCCCACGAGCCAACAAGGGCTGCAAGACCCAAACAAAACTGCACAAAATTACAAGACCCAGTAGGCCCAAAAGAACTGCACAAAATTTTCTTTCTTTTTTTTTTTTTTTTTTTTCAACAACTTAAAGAACATGATACAAAAATAGTGCTCATTCCTTGTGTAAATTTCATTATGGAACGATAGATGTGCTAGTGTTTTACTCCAATAGTTTATTTAATCACCACTTGAGTCATTTATTATTTTTTTATTGGGTTTAAATTTAATAATAATCAATCACATTTTGAGCTTTTGATTTTGAACAGGTTACAACTAAAGGAAGTTATTTTTTATTTTTTACAGGAAATTCTGTTCATTTGTTTCAAGTGAGAAAAGTGCCAGCAACAAGCGTAGCACATGACCAATGCAACAACATTGTTTGTGCTTATTTATTTATTTTTTTCGAACGGTACGTGCTTATTTAAATTAAACCTTGGTCATTAATCAGTTATTTTTTCTAAGTATATTTGGACCTTTCAAATTTGAAAAGAAATAAATTAAGGGACGGGCCTAGAAGCATGAGATAAACACAAATTGACAGAAGAAATTAGATTATAATATTGTTACTTCTCTTTTAATTTCAAAATACCGTCACTAATTAACCAGTGTGAGATGATAACTAGAACTCAATCACGAGTTAATAGTGTTCGAGTCAAATTAGAGGAGGAAAAGGTCCATATTACCCCTTCATTTTTTTTTTCCATCAATTACCCTTTCAAGATTAAAAGTAATACTAATAATTTGAAAGAACGAGAAATTTCATAATAACTCAGTGCTCACACGTAGTATTGATATTTTTAATTTTTTAGGCAAATACTCATAGCCACCCCACGTTCACTTGTTGTACTAGTATTTGTAAAATGACAACAAATTTTGATAATACAAATCATCATATTTGATGAAGTAATAAAATCGATATCAAATACTATTAGTTAGATTAGTAATAGGGAGTAGTATGACTCTTGACTGGTTAATATCTTGCTTGTTAAACGCATTTATTATATATTGATGATCTTTTTATCTTTAAATGATAGAGAACCAACTCACAACTCATTCTATATATAATTATCAGTAATAATTTAATTGTTGTATAATTTTATATAGTCATTGAAAAAAAAAATTAAAAAAATTAGTATTATTTTTTTTTACAAGGTAAGAAGAGTTAGAATTTAAATTAGTAGATGTAAATAGTAGAAACCTCTGCAACAAAATATATATATATATATATATATATATATATATATATACTTGAGTGTCTCTATAATCTACATAAATTTATGAAAAGAAAATTTTTCATATTCATTCTCTTTCAATCAACCACCAACACAATAAAATAATATTACATGATCGTGCACCATTATTCCCAACCAATTATCATTTTTCACCTAAAAAAAACATAGACTTGCACATTTCCTCTCAAGTGTTAAATTAATTGGCCCAATGGTTTGGAGTCTTTGGACTATGTAATAATTTTTGAATAAATACCCAAAAAAACGTAAAAAAAGAAAAAAAAAAAAAAAAGAAAACAAAATAAAAGAAGGAAATAAAAATCAAGCAATTAATATCCAGGTGGACCACGCCCTTCAAAGTCCAAAGTTCTACCAAATGGCCCATCTTGTTCACCAAGGCAACAATCCTATATATGCCAGGGTACTTCAGTAACTTCAGCGAAACAGTCATGTTTGAAGGCATATTCGTTCACGCTACTAGTTGAAATCGAGAGTTAGGGTTATTTTGGTTTGCAATTTACAATTCTTAACCAGCAAAAAATCGCAAATAGGGCTTTGTTTGCGTCATTACTGATCTCCTGTTTCTTACTTGTATAGCGATCGTATAGAGGGGGGAGAGAGAGAGAGAGGGGTTGTCTCCTAAGTTCACTTAGTAGACTCACACTCGAACATTGGTTTGTGATGAAAAAGCTTTGATATTCATTTGTTTCACAATATTCTTTGTGAAAAACGACAGTTTCAGTGGCGATGGCCCTCCCTCTCGGGAAGCTCACCATCCTCGTCGGTGCAGGTCCTCACATCTCTCTCTGTGTGTATATATGTGTGTGACTGTTGATATGCATATACAGGTTTTCAATTTCTGTATATTCTTAATTCATCAGAGTTTAAGCTTATTTTGGTCTATTTCCTGATTTCCCCCCTTTGTTAACAATTGCTAGAAGAAAATTTAGGGTTTTCAGTACACCCTAGATTCTTTGTGAATCAGTAATGGGAACAGGAATTAATTTGTTAATTGAAGGAAACGCACTTTGATAATCATATTGTTAGTTAATTTTTTTTTGGTTATGTGGTCTAAAAGGAAAATTCAGGCCGCTCTTCTTTGGTTAACTGTTGTGCTGGTCCATTAGGTGAAAAAATCAAACTACAGTTGCATTTTCGCTATGATAGACAAATTAAGGAAGTGTCAAGTGTCAACTATTGAAAATTAGGTTGATTTTGTGTGAAATTGATGTAGTGTAAGTGCTGCATCACACTTTGTAGTGCGAGTTCCAAAGAATACAAGACTAAGAGGCTGCAGCTTAATGTATTTTTTGGAGGCATTGTTCTCAGATGTTTGCTTGTTGAAGTATGCACACTTCACACGGCATTATTCAAATAAAGACTGGCCTTTTAGCTATTTCACTGAGTGGTCAGTGGTTCCTCTATATTTAGAGACATTTCTGTTTCAAGTTAATAAAACATTTATATGTGATGGTCCTGATGGATTTTGGTTTTTGATAATGGTCTCTATATTGAAAGTTGACCATTTAAGACATCCAAGACTGTCAAAGCTAATGGTCAAAACCTTCAAGTGTACAACACAACTTCTTGGGAGTCAATTGACAAGGGTAGTGTAGCGACAAGGGTGCTCTTGCTTGAGTACATCTCATTTCAATTTTTGTGGTTTGCTCTCCCATTTGCCCTGTCCTGATTAGTAATGTGGCATCATTCAAAGTGTTTTATTAGTTAAAAACTTTATAATTTGTCATTTTTAAAGTCTTTATCCTGACTTGAAAAGGAAAAGAAAATCTCTCTCTTTCTCTCTCTTCTTCTCTTTCTTTCTCTCAATAAGTATGTTTGAAATGCTATTCAGGTTTTACATAATGGATTGTGGTTTAAATCCAACTTACTTACCAAAAAAGGAAGAAATATACATACTAGACTGTAGAATGAGATGCCTTTCATAATTAGTCATTTACTGAAATGCATTTTCTGTTTTCTATCTTTTTTTTCCTAGTTGGGTACTCAAACACACATGCCTCCACGGAGGCTCGAACCTCTGACATCTCTTTGAGAAATAGGGGCTTGGTGCTAGGCCATTGGCCTGTTGGTATTTTTTGTTTTCTATCTACGTGTCTCATGTTGGTACAATGTTGTTAAAGGCGCGCTGTAATGACCCTCACCCTAATCAGACACAATATTGTCCTTTTTTGCCTCCCTGAGACCAGAGACTTCCCGGGGGGTCACCCATCCTGGTACTACTCCAGGTTAAGTACGCTTAACTCTGGATTTCTAGTGAGTTCACCGCCATCACGGCTTTAAAACGCATTGTTTCATAGAAGGGTGTTGAATCTACATATAACACTTGCCCCTTCTACACCCAGGTGATGTGGGATTGTGCACCTGTAGCTAGCCCAGTGTGGTAGCCTACTAGTGCCATCTGCACACGCTTACACACACCCACCCACAAGATCGCCACACGCGCGCCTAGGCTCGAGGCTCTGGTTTAGCGCTTGTCATCCCAGGCTCACTGATGTTTACTAGGCGCGCGCTTCGGTTACGCCTTGTCCTGTTTATGAGGCGCGCCTCACTGATATTTGTTTAAAAAAAACTTTATTGTTCTTTTTTCTTAAGCCAAAAAGGGTACTTTTGGCAACTTAGTAAACAAAAAAGAAAGCCCAAGCATACGATAGAAGGAACTTTTGTACAAAAGAATAAAAAAATAAGAAAGCCCAAGAGTCAAAGTGTTAACCGAACATCGATAAAATGGGATTGTGAGACGAATGTTATTATGGTAGTTTAAATTTTCAATTGTGCGCCTCACTTCACTTAGGCGCGTGCCTCGCAGTGCGTCTCGTGCCTAGGCTCCAAAGGACCTCTAGCGCCTTGGTGCACCTTGGGCCTTTAATAACACTATGTTGGTGGTAAGCTTGGTCCTGCTGACTAATAAGTCATCTATTTTCTTTTAGGCCTTGTTGGATCGGTTCTTGCAAAAGAAGGGCGCATGTCAAATGTGTCCGATTTTTTTTCTGGTGCTTTCAAGGTATGTTTGTCTTATCTGGTTATATACCATCGGAATTGTCCATAAATGATTTTGTTTTTACTATTTTCTTGTATCCTTATGCATACATAAATACATCATGTTGATTGCTGAGGCGTGTCATTATTTCTCTTCCACCACAGATTGTTTGGAAGCAAATTAGACAAGATGATTCCACCCAATCAAGTGCGAAGCCACGAAATGACTCTTTGATGGCCCAGGTTGCCATTTTGCTCTTTTATTTTTATTATGGACAATACTTTGTGACCTGAAATTCATTTGCGAAGCATATTTCTACTTTGTATATCAGCGTTCACTGAATCACTTCGTGATGAATAATAGATGGTTTTAGATTTGCTTATGGGCTTTTTGATTTTTTTTATATTTTTTATTTTAGAATGCAGCTATTAATATTTGCTCAAGATGATCTCTATGCTTTTCATTGGATATGATTGTATTAAGGCTGTCTTTGGATCCAATATGGTTTTAAAATGTCATGAAATTTTGCAAATATTTGAACACTCAAATGAAACTCATTTTCATGCCTTTGCAATCCACAAGGAGGGCAAAGAAAATGCTCAGAATCCGAGAAGCAGGTGAGAGAAAATTTCAAAAGGAAAATTCGATCACGTGTTGTGAGTGTAGTATGCTCCAAAGAGTGTCAGCTGATATGAATGAGCGAGGGAAGTTTTCTAGGTTCACATTTTTCATTTTGTGCTTCTTGTGGGTTTATAATACTCTAACCAACATCTTGCATTTGTTTCTGGGTAAAAGCAACAGAACACAATGGTGAAACTAGGGATCTATTTGAGTAAGGTGTGATTTGTTTATCCTGTATAATGCTGGGTGGAGAGGGTGCCATACTCTATAAGTAGATTGTTAGCATTCCCTTACCCTCTGCCATATTGATGTAGAACAATGTAAAGATCTTGTAGTATCACAACTTAAAATTGGCTTTATTGTGGTTTTGGTAATGGAGAGCTAGTAGAATTTAGAAGGGTGAAAAAATTGATTATATGCTTTGTAGATGAAAAGAGTTGGATTTGGCTTGGTGTGTGAGGTTACAGAAGTGTTAGATTTTTTATTTTATTTTATATATATATCTATATCTCCAGATAAAAGTATTTTTGGGATTTAGGGTGTTTAACTAAAGGCCAAGGAATGGGAGAAGAAAGGCTTTGGATATGGGATTTCCTCAAAAAAAAAAAAAAAAAATAGGGTAATTTACATTGACGTCCTATTAGGTTTGACAAATTCACATACGACACGCAAGTTAGGTGTTTACTTCTCTGACCTCCCTTATGGACGCTAGCGTACCTACGGCCGTCAAATGAGAGTATGAAATGTCCTTTCTATATTAATATAATGTACGTTTTGCACATGACATTTTCTCTTTCTCCCCTTTCCTCTCCCTCTTTTTGCGTTCCATCTCTTCTCTCAACCTCCTTAAACTGCCAAAACCTCCTCCCATACCACTTTACTCCTCCAACCATTTCTACTGATTCCACCTCCTCCCACCACTGCTATCACCATGACCACCTATCTTCTCTCTTAACCCTCTTCTCTCTCTTCTCTATTCTCTCCTGATCCATTATGACCAACGTCACCTATTCTCTCCCTACTGCTCCCCACCCCTACGTCCCACTCTGTGTCTATCGAAATGTCCACAACCCAAAGCATAAATATATCAATACTCCAGTGATGGGTAGTTGATGGAGGGGTGGTTTTGTGCGTCAAGAAAACCAAATTTATTCCTGGAGTGGGGAGGGATGGGGACGAGTCATGGGAGGTTTGAGGTCTGCTCGTTCTACTGCTGGTTGATGGATCGTCAGGTGATGTCCTTTTCGTGGAAAGGAATTTGGGCTTTCTCGAGCCCCCTAAAGGTGTCCGTTTTCACTTGGACAACAGCTTTGGTGAGGATCTTGACCATTGACAATCTGAGAAGGAGATGACAGATTATTGTCAATTGGAGTTGTATTTGTAAGCGGGCCGAAGAGTTTGGACCATATTCTTCTTCACTGTCCCAGGGCTAGGGATTTCTGGGATATGCTGTGTGCCATTTTTTGGATCCAATGGGCCATGCCTGAGATTGTGGTGGGCCTGATTGCCTCTTGGGGTGGTTGTCATGTGCATTCCCAAGTCAGAGATTCGTGGAGGGTAGCCCCTCTTTGCTTGCGGTGGAGTCTTTGGAAGGAGAGGAACAAGAGAAATTGAAGTCAGAGGAAGAGAATTTGTTTTAAGGTGGTTTAGCCAATTACAGGGAACCAATAGATGCTTCTGCACCAAAATTTGATTTGATCTATTGCAAGGTGCTGCAAGCAGAAATTGTAGTCAGCTATAACGTGGATTGAAGGTAAAATGAAAAGACTCGGTGGCGTGATTTAGGAAACATGTGATCCTTGATAACGCCAAACATTAAAAAGGATTTATGTAACGAATTCCAAGTTGTTGGAAGTAACACTAATCCTTACTCCTTATTGCAAGCTCCTTTGTACTCCGCATATATTTGAGTTATTACCCCTTGGCACTTTTTAGTGCTATTTCTTTGATTGAAAAATTGTTGTTAGAATTAACACCTTGTTGAAGTTGATTATGCAGCTGATGTTAAGCAACATTTCTATACTCTTTTCCTTTGAAATCTGTTTGTTGGTGAAGCCAAGGTTTTAGATTTCATCTAGCCTTCTAAAACCAAATGCTCGAACTTCTAATAGTTTGTTCTTAGGACCGGCCTTACTAAATTCTGGATCCTAAAACATTCTCAGCTTTTCATTGTGGTGTCGGTTTTTTCTTTTCTTTTCTTTTCTTTTTATTTATTTATTTATTTATTTTTACTGTTTTAGTTTTTAGGTTCTTTTGGCCCATGGTATTTTTCTTTCTCACTTCATATTAATCTTTTCATTTTATTCTCCTCTGTTTACTGGATTTGCTTTGGAAATTGTGATTGCCGTCTTGGCGATTGAACAGATGAGTATGTTAATTATGAATTTATGATAGGTTTGTTAAAATTAATTTTTTAGCATTTTGGGTTATTATAGTGCTTATGTATTTCTTCCTTTCCAAAATTGCTATTCATTCATCCTACTTGAAACTTGTCTAAGAAGTTCTATGCATCATTTCATTTTACAGGTTAATAGCTTACGGCAGGAACTGCAACTCTTGGCATCAAATAGATCAGTTACAATTATATCATCAAGTGGTTCAGGTTGTTTCATACACCTCATATTTATATATTTATCTTCAAGCAGCAATCTCTTATCAGCCATTGGCTTTGTATCACTAATATCTAAGAAAACATATTTGAGAGACCCCATTTTTTAAAGTTATTACTTTTATTCCTTTTTTTAAAATTAATAACTTATATTGCAAAATGCAATCTAAGAAATCTTCATATTCATGTTTTAATTGAAGAGTGCAATTTCTAACACAGACTCACGTGTTTCTGTTTGTGTGATGTGAGTCTCCATGTCTTCTTTGTTGTGTTTGGTTCTGTTAATCCCAGTGCAAGATCTTAAATGTGAAGCAGTTGCCATTTAAAATTTCTTTTTAGTTACGTTGTTAAGTCATGGGTCATTTTACTTCTCAAACAAAAATGCTGCTCCAAAGGAACAAAGGAATTTGACATTTTTAAGTGTTTGGTCTACTTGTTACTTGGGGCCACTGTGGTGTGTAATCCTGGATTCATTCCCTATTCTATATCAGAAGAAAAAAAAAACAAAGAAAAGAAAGGAAGTTGACATTTGCTTTGCTGTATGTTGTTATTTGGTTTGCATGAGATGTAAAAACATGCAAGCTGATACTTCTAATTTCACTCCTTTGTAAGTCACATCTGAACTCCATTCAAGCCTTTCTATTCTTATCAGATATCTACCTTCTTAGCCTTTACATGCATGTGTACATATTTATTTGGCCTGGAGTTGGGGAGCTGGATGGGAACATCCTTTTGAGAACTCTTCCACAGTCCTCCTTGGGACCATCTGCAAAATCAGATGATGGCCATCATTCTTTTTCTGTAACATGGAAAATCCTCTATTTAGGCCCTATTGCAATGATCTCTTTCATGACAACCATCATCACCATCATCTTTTACCACATCTTCCTTCCTTGATTATTTGTTAGTTTCTGGGTCCATGATTCAAATATTTTGATTGTATCGGGATTTCTATAATCAAATCTGAAAAAAGTATTCTCAGCAAACCTGAATATAAACATGAAAATGGATGCTAAAATTCCATTGCATAAAATGCTAATGAGTGACTCTTTTTTTCCCTTTTAAAAGAGAGAGGAAATAAGAAAAGTATGAATTTAGTTTTGAAACAGATAAACTTGTCCTTTCCTAACCATTTAAATTATCTTTGAATGAGCGCTTGTGTGGATTGTGGGTAAGTTTGTTAAGTTGTCATTCTTTCATCAAAACACCGGAAGTTTCCAATTAAATGCATTCACCTGTTTTCTGATTTAATGCGCACCTAAACGTAAGAATGTGTTTTATTAATATTCATAGCTTTTATTTAATTTTCCTGCAAACATAATGGACCTGATGAAGCTTGGATTGAATTAATGTCTTTTTACACTGTCAAACATCTGATGCCATAAATCTATAAGGAAACACGGGGAGATTTTATATTGTGAGATATACATGCTAAGAATATCAATGAAGTGCGTTAGGATCAACCACAATATTATCAGGATTCCTCCTATTAATCTTTCAATGAACAGTGCAAATGTTCAACACTTTAAGAATATCAATGAAGTGCAATAGGATCAACCACAATTTGATCAGGATTCTTCTTAATCTTTCAATGAACAGTTCAAATGTTCAACACTGGCATTTTACCTTGATGTGCATGGAAGTCTCCTTTTCATATCATGTTGCAATTTGGAGACCTTGAGAAATTTTGAGTTGTCTCTGTTGTGTACCCATGACATCAGTAATTCCTTTCTACTGTGCACTTTGACTTGGACAATAATCTGATTTCACAACTTATTTTAATACTTTGTACCTTGATGTACTCTGTAAAATATTATTAATGTTTTAAAATCTTGTTTAATCCTGTGCAGGTGGTAGCAGATACGGTATAATTATTGTTGTTGTTGTAGCAGGATATGGCTATGTTTGGTGGAAGGTAACAATCATGATCTCAATCAAGTACCTATAAAAACTGTAACTTTTTTGTGAAGAAATATGGTTTGTGCTTCTATCAAGTACAATTACATCTAAGGATGATGAAAATATACCCCATAATTTTAGATTTGCCGTCCAAAGTTAATTTAACTCAAGTCCGAGGCTATTGAGTTGTTTAAAATCTAGTTCCTATAAAAACTGTACCTTTTTTTGTGAAGAAATATGATTTATGCTTCTATCAAGTACAATTGCATCTGAAGATGATGAAAATATACCCCATAATTTGAGCTTTGCTGCCCAAAGTTAATTTAGCTCAAGTCAGAGGCTATTGAGTTGTTAGGGGATTTACTTTGGGATTTTCTTTTTGGTTAATGGAAAAATTAACTCCAAGCCCACCCCCAATCCAAATACATGCATTGATGCTGAGATAGCTTTGGTCAGTTGACTGAATTTATTTCAAAAGAATCAAAGCTTTTTTGAACTTGAAATGGAAATTTAATTCTCATTTGGAGATTCAAGTTTAGATTTATTTTCATTTAATCCTGAATCCCCATCACCCATTTGACAGTCACGTGGCTGTAAGAAAGATTATCTAAGCAGCAATGTGACTTGGGATAGCAACCCAAGTTCATGAAACTATTTACTATATCAGTCAATACACAGGTCACGCTGGTGCGGCCATTGATCAGGCTTGCAACCTTACGGGGTTAAACTCTAGAGCAACTGAAACTTGGAGCCTTCCTTTAGTTACGAGCCTGTATCCCAGCTGGCTGCTGCTCCAGTACAGACCTCAAACTGTCATATGAAGCTTTGTCATGGCCCATTTTTTTACAAATGAATCTTGTATTGGGCAAACTGCAGACTGCCCACCCAATGTACCATAATGCTTCTTTGTGCCTGTGAATTCCTCTTAAGGTGTGGATCCTGCCATCCCACCGCTTTGTCAAACAAGTCATACCCATGTTAAAAGATCCAAATCAATGATTCCAATGTCCCCAGTAGAGTACATTAGATGAACTATTACATTTGGGAATAGAAAAATAGAGGGGAATGGGGATTATGTCCAGATTTTAGAATAGGAAGTTCAGTGGTTGGCACTTTGATGCTTGATTACTAGCTCTACTTCAGTAAAAACAGTAGGGAAGATATTTGTTTGTAATGTAAGCAGATTTGTTCTTTTGTTTAATATTTTTGAAACTTAATTAATTTTTCCATCTAGGGAAAGGAAATGGAAACGGTCTATATGTTTTTAATTAAAAGAAATTGATATTCTTTTCCAGTAGCATTGTGTTCTCATTTGTCACTTAGTATTTTATAGGTATATAATATATATATATATATATATATAAATATATTTTATTGTTTTCCCTTCTTATAACTCTTTCCACTGCGATTAGCTAATATAATGGTTTGTGCACTTGTTTCTTGTTTTAGGGTTGGAAACTTCCTGATATGATGTTTGCTACAAGGCGCAGCTTATCTGATGCATGCACTTCTATAGCTAAACAGCTTGAGAATGTTTACTCATCGGTTTCGGTAAGTTTATTTCCTCACAACTAGTCCGTCCTTAATTATCATGTTAAGGCTAATACTTAATAAAGCATTTCTAGTAAATTATGAAATTATTTATGCCGCAGCATCACCTCGTTATTCACATGTCATAAGGAAACTGATGTTTGTTGATAGTTAATGTTTTATGTATGTGTTGCTCTGATGTACTGGAGATAGGGAGCTCAGCTCAGTTTTTCCTTTGTGATATGATTCCGGTCCAGAATATAGTAGGTGCTCCGCTAAGCATGGGAAGCACCTTTGGTTGGTTCATCTACTGACGGTAGAAAGATTCTATTGATGTTATGATCTCATAGATGTGTACACTGGTACTGGATAATGATGGAGTTGTTACATTGTGAGTTTGAAAAAGATTACCTCCTAGCGACCCTTGGGGTATACCATGTCTGTGTATACTTCAATGAAGTTGGCTTTTTTTGCCTCACCTGTTTTGGAGAACACGTGTATCTAATGTGTATTCTTGGAGGTTTGTTTGATCTTTTATGTTGTCGTCGCTATCATCGTCTTTGCTTTGGTCCCACCTGAATGGGTGGACAACATGAATCTCTTTTTTCACATAAGTTATATCACATTTTTTTAATATTTGAGCGCATGGTAGTTTTGGTCTACCTGTTACCTTCTAATTTAACTAATATTCCTTTTTTGTCTTATTTTTTTGGTATACTGGGTATGTGCATACCATTTATGCCTACTTTCTCTTATATAATCAATAGTTGCCACTTAAAATCTTTCATTAGTCACCTTTCTTTTAGTTACTCCTATCAACTATTTCAACACTCAATTTCGATAACCCGGAAGTGCTTATTGCTTTTTCGATGCTCAGCTTCTTGCTCCATATAAGATAGATGGTCTAATAATCATCTTTTTTATTTTCCTTTTAACATATTTGATAGTCTCTTATCACATCGGAATAATAGGATACAACTGGATTATCTTCTCTCCACTTTACCCATCCAATCCTACATGTTATATTGTTATTTATCTCCATGTCTTTCTATTATTGATCTCAAATACCAAAAATTGTTATATTGAATAATTCTTTGGCATTGAAATGTTTTTATCACAATGTCATTCTCTGTATTTGAATCTGTATTGCATATATTCAATTTAGTTCTACTTACTTTTTAAAACTTAAGGCTCTAATATAACCTCTCCATATTTGCCATTTTAATTGCTAAAGTAATAATGAATACTTGTCAAAAAATAAAAAATAAAAAAATGCTAAAGTTTTAAAAGTGTAAGAAACTTTGTCGTCGACAAACAATGCACATAATGGAATATCACCTTTTGTATCTTTCACTATTTCATCTAAAACTCTTGTAACCAGATGTGAGCTCCTTTTTTCAAACCTACTTTTATGGGAAAATCATTTGTTTCTCCACATGCAGTTCGAATTCTAGTCCTTTTGTCTCTATTAGTATTTGGACAATTTTAATAAAATTGACAGGAATTTTATTCTTTTTTGTGTGTAAGGCCACCAAATTATGTTTGTCAGTACTTTTTCATTATCATACTGAAATTCTTCAAGAACATGTATACATCTTTCTTTTTACTTGTACATTCTTCAATTAATTGTCTTATTGAAAAGATGGCTACTTAGTAGATCTTCCCGGGGCATAAATCCAAGATAGTTATCGGACACAGTTGATCCTTTCCTTATTTATCACTTTCTCCTTTAGCTTCTTGTGTTACTCATTAATTTCTGTGTGCATGCACTTTGCACCCTTTGTAAATGATGATACCGTAATAAAATCTATTTAAATTCATATACTGCCGTAGTTTTGTCCACTGAAATTGAATCTGTAGCCGCAAACGTTTATTTTTTAATTATCCTTTCTATTATTTTAATAGTTTGGGTGTATTCTTTTCTTGTAAAAGAAGTAATTAGTAATTACTGATATATGTCCCGCCTACACTGGATGGTGGGAGAGGAAGGTTGGAGGCAAACCTTACTTTGACATTATTGGATCATTTTTTTGATGTACCTTTTTAAATAGAAACTTACATGGATACTATTACGAGGTAGTGAGATGCCACTTGTCTGTGTTACGACTCTAATGAGGAACATTGGGCCTGCTTAGTTCGGTTCTCTAAAAACAGTTTTCAAGAACTCAGCAAACATAAAACTGTTTTCAGAGAACTATAAAAGACAGTTCTATGAAAATAGGCCTTCTTTTTAATCTGAGTTTCCAGAAACTGTCAACCAAACAGATTTTTTATTTTCTATTTTTATAGATTTCTGATTTTCAGTTCTCAAAAAACTGTTCTCCCAAGCAGGCCCATTGCGTCAACTACTTTGTTGCTTTATTCATATTCATTCTAGTGAAAGTATATATATAAGACGAATTACTGTGTTACCTTGCTTGGCTAGTAATATTTTCTCTAACCTAGAGATTATTAAATGTAAAATTTGCTCAGAATAATAGATTCTACATTTGCATGAGAATTGTCTTGTTCACACAGACAACTTCTGAAGTGGAGCAGTATCCAAATGCTACCTATACGTGCAAAATCTGTAGGTTTATACAAGTGCATCTCGTTCTGTGGTGGTGCCTAGAAAGGGATTTGGAATAAAACTAACTACATGTGAATTTTTGCTTGGTGCTGTCGTAAAAGCTGTGGCCGATGTGCATGAGGGCGTGGGTTTGAGTACAAGTGCAGTTGCTTTCTGCAGAATAATGCCAAAGATTTGGTCTATCCAATCTTCCCTCTTGCACCCCACATATTCGAGGCCAACATGCTCTGGCTAATGGCCTTTTGGTATTGCTTAGTTTATCATATACTTTTTTCAAGAAAATTCGCATCATGTGCATTTATTGCTATATATTTTATGATCTGCTTAATTTTTGAACTTTTTTTTTTTTTTTTTAAAACAATAAGAATTTGTGATCATTTATTTTCTTACCTCAGTAGATGTTTTCTTTGTTTTCCAGGCCACCAAGCGGCATTTATCTTCCAGAATTGATCGTGTGGATTGTAGTTTAGATGAGTGTGCCGAACTTACGGCTGGTACAAGAGAGGAGGTGGGACCAAATTAAAGGTTTGATAGAAATCTACATTTCCCTATTTGCTTCGATTACATAGTAATACATGGAACATTTGTTATATTATATAGGTCTCTGAACTAAGAGGAGAAATGAAAGTGATTGGGGTTGACGTTCTGTCTGTTCACAATGCAGTCCAAACGCTGGTGACTCATCTTCAAGAAATTTATAGTTTTTTTCCCTTGTTTGTTTACGTTCATTTTTTTGGACATGAACTTTAGGACTGATTTTATTATTTCTATATTACAGGAGACTAAAATTAATAGAATAGAAGGAAAGCAGGTATTTCTTGCTTTTAAAAGCAAAAGTAGAGCTCTGTTAATTTCTTTTATGCTGTCTAATCTTTCTGTCCGTGTTGTGTGATTATTTGCATAGACTATGACGCATGGAGGAATTATGAAGTTAGTTAATTATGCCCAGAGCTTAGAGCACGGCAAAGCCACAGAGCGTATTCAGGCACGAGTAGAATCTGGTCTAATTTTTTTTTTTCGATTTCTAGTCTCATTAAATATGGTTTTTTACAACATAATTGCTGATTGATAAAAACTGAAAACTTTTAAGTGCTGAAGTTTTAAGCAGTAATTGTAAATTCAGAATTTTTTTGACATTAAGTGTTCAACTTTCAATAATTCGTGAAGTCACTGTGACGTACTTCAAAATTTTACCTCATTTTAAGTGGCACTTATTTTTTAAGTGATATTTAAAATGCATTATCAAATGCACTTAATTTTACAAGGCTGAATTTGATTATCAAACTGCACCTTAGCCGAATTCATTTTCCTTCCCTCTATTTTTAACTAGTTTTCTTGAACTCTGCAGGAAGCGCCTAGTTCATCCAGGCTAGCCCCTGAATTGCCACAATTGACACCCTCATCACGGGTAAGTGTATTCCTTCACCATGTTATTATTGTGATTCATTAGTATTAACCGTAGAAAAACTTTGGAGAAACTTGAAAGACTTGCTCTTTTATATGTTTTCTTCAGTTACTGTTTGTAGGAAACACTGGTGTACAGTTAAATTTGACACATCACTATTAATGACTACTAGGAGAAATCAGGTTTTAAGTAGCAGGTTGTAGAGACTAGAGAAAGCTAGGGATAAGAATCATACAAGTGTCTGTTCCAAAAACTGGTTGATCTAATAAAGACTATCCGGGTCATGGTTATGATTTATGAGAATATGTATTTTAGCGCTGGAAAACCATTTTGAAATCTGTTAGTGATCTCACTAGTACCTGCTCCAATAGAACTGCAGGGAGCACATTCTGTTGTCTTTTATCCTTGTAGAGTTGGTTTAAATTTTCTGGAAAGAAATGTCGTTTTGTTTCTTTCTTGAGTTTGATGGTAGCCCTATGTTTTACTAGGGAGATTAGTGAGTAAAATTTTTGGGTTTTATATTTGATATTTTAATGTATGTTCTTATAAAATATTGTATGGATGCTTCTAGACGAGAACATTTTTTTTTGACAAGTGCTTCTAGACGAGAACATATTTCAATGAGAATGCTCAAAGCTTCAAGTATAACCTATATTGAACCTATATTTTGCTGAGAATAAAATTAGTTAATATTATTCTTACTACTTCTACTGTGTGCCTTTGCAGACTGAGTCTTCGCCTCCCATTTTGTCTCTGGAACCACAGTCTCCCTCTGATTCTAATGGATCTAACAAGGTTTGTATAGAAAGATATGAGATTGACGCCAAGGGCTGGACCAGGGAAAATTAGTATCCACTTTATTTCAGATTCTCTCTAGTGATTTAGTTCTGTTACTGAAGATGGAAACATCTGTTTTGAGTTATTTACTATAAACTCCAACAAAAACTAGTAACCGCGACACAGTTGCATGCACAAGAATGGTTACAAGTAACCGTGTTATGGTTACAAAGAACATGGTACACCACAAGTAGAACAGCAGGGAACTGGTAACTGTTGATGTGCATTTAACTGTGGTTTTATTTGGATTACAATGATCTTCTCCCTTATTTTATTTTTCATTTTTCAATTCTACAGGCTCCTTTTTAGCTCGTTCTTCTTCCACCACTTTTTGGAGTTTTCTGTGTTGTACATGTGGACATTTTTATTTTAGTCACTTACCATTCCATGTTGGGATCTTCACCTCCTTTTTATTTCTTGCAATATTAAGGAATGGCTTAGCATGTCTTTTGTCATACTTCATCTGAAACCAAATATTTTCTGAATAGTTTAGCTTTAACACTCTTTTTCCATTTGTCTATCCGTTTCAGGTAAAACGGACTCTTCATAGTGCTGTCTCAGCATCAGGCCTGAAGGTTATCTTACATTCAAATTTTGCTGTACACCCCTTGTTTTTCAATGCAGGCAGTATCTCTAACTTGTTAATCTTTTTCAGGAGCTTCATGGAATTTCGGGTGCAGTAGATGCATCGGGTGGTCCCGAAGTTTCTAATGGGGTTCAGGCATCAGAAGACACAAACAATGGGTACTTGGGTTCGGGAATGTTTGGGCGGAAGATTCCTGGCATCAGGGCTTCATTTTTTACAAGAACCCGCAGTGCAATGCAGTCCTTCAAATAGACCGGGACACTTAATATGCTGCAGTAGTGACCATTGAACCTATATATAAGGGATATATTTTTGTACTGGGGTAAAGGGAAAATGTTTATCAGGTTAGTTCTAGGGCTTGCCGAAGCCGATCCCAAAGATACAAAGGAGTGCCCAACCATATTCCTGGAAAGAGGACTAGGTTCTGAATTTTGTAGAGCTGCTCTTTACATTATAAGATTAATTTAAGATTACATGTGTAAAAAGTCTATATAAATATTAAGTAAGTGGTGAAAAGGGGAATGGCAGAAGGTTTCATTTGAGGCTATCCAGATTTATGTCGTCTCTAATATTCCTTATCATCTTGTTTGCAACTGGTTGATGGTGGTTTTATGTGGCCTCTTCTTCACTTAATTAAGACATTTTATTTTGTGGGAAATGTTGTGTGTATTGGTTGTGAGGAAAATTATTCGGTCTCAGAATGCATGGGTAAAATGGAAATGCAAAAAACGGGGCCTGTTTTGTTTTACATGTATATATTTTTTCCTCCATTTTTTTTTGAAAGAGGTTAAATTTGGTCCCAAATGATGCTTGAAACGTCTAGAAAATTTAAGAGCCAGGTTGAAATAAGCAAAGAAGGGCTAAAGAAGAAAATTTATCATTTCGAGGCTTTAATTTGAGTGAAATTTAAGGCTTAGGTTTTGACATGTGCAAATGTATCTACACCAAACACAATGGTAGATGGTTTAATTTTCAAACTGGTAACAACTTTTTCATGACATTTGACACGCAGAATTGGAATCAACCACAATTCATGGGATGTCACCAAATCTGCAACGGGAATGGGATTCATTTGATGCGGTACAACAATCTGAGTTTGTAGTCTTTTATCTTGAAACACTGCTTTTGCACAGAGAAGTCTCTCTTCACAGTTCTTTAACAATCATATGTGATAGATTGATATTACTTCATAGCGTGAGATTCCATTTAATTTATATCACAATCAAAGTATGTTCTATAAGAGCTTAGTAACTTGTGAAACCTAAAATTAGGGGAATATTTTGAAGTTATATATATCTTAGCTATATTATTTATTTATTTTTTTACTTTCGTTCCCAAGTAGCATCTTGGAGCCTGTGACCATTTGGGCGCACATGGTTCTATTTAATCTATGAGTATATATATCTAGTTTAGGGTGACCTTAACGGATATTATTTTACAATTTAGGGGAAAATGAAAAAGTTGAGGCATTTTATGCAATTATCCAAACGGAGGAAATAAAATTTCTTAGTTATGGTGGTGTATTCAGCAGAGGAAATAAAATTTCTTATTGCTTTGTTGTATCCATTTAACCATCAATTATTATTTAATATAATCTAATTACCTTTTTTTTTTTTTTTTTTTTTTTTTAATATTCCTAATAGATTTCTAGCAAAAAACAAAATGGATAAAGTAATCCCGTAAATTTTAAAATTTGAGCTTATTAGATACTGTATTAGATTGTGAGTCTCACTTTTGGTGGCCTCTGTGGTGCTAAATATTGTCTGTTTTGGACTTTTTGGAATTGATTGTAAAATCTAATTAATTTTTATTTTTAACGATCCACCCTGTACCAATTAGAGATAACATTACTACATATAAGTATTTCACCTTTCTTTATTTAGGCGATGTGGGATTGTGCACCCATAACTCACCTAGTGTGGTAGCCTACCAGTGCCACGCATCCGCCCACAAGGTAGCCACAATCGAGTGGGTCATTACAAATAGTATCAGAGCCTGACTCAGCCAAAAGTGTGGCCAACCAAGGCGTTGAGCCCCAAAGGGCAGGTAATTGTGGCCACTTTATGGGCGGGTGTGTGTGAGCGTGTGTAGGTGGCACCAGTAGGCTACCACACTAGGCGAGTTACAGGTGCACAATCCCACATCGCTTGGGTGTGGAAGGGGTTAGTGCTATATGTAGATTCAACACCTTTCTATGGTACAAAGTATTTTAAAGCCATGATGGCCGTGAACCTACTAAAACTCTGGAGTTAAGCGTGCTTAACCTAGAGTAGTACCAGGATGGGTGATCCCCTAGGAAGTCTCGACTCCAGGGGAGCCAAAGTGGACAATATTATACCATGTGGTGGAGTGGGTCGTTACAAATGGTATCAGAGTATGATCCAGCCGGAAGTGTGGCTAACGAGAACGTTGAGCCCCAAAAGGGGGTGATTGTGGCAACCTTGTGGGCGGGTGCAAGACACTGGCAGGCTACCATACCGGGCGAGTTAAGGGTGCACAATCCCACATAGCCTGGATAAGGGAAAAGTGAAGTGCTTATATGTGATGATGTTATCTTCAATTGGTATGAGGTTTTTTTAGAGTAAAACCTAAGAGTAAAATCGTGCGGGCTCAGGCCCAAAGTAGAAAATATTATACATGTGGTGGAGTTGACCGTTATAAATGGTATCAGAGCCTGCCCAGCCGAAAGTTTGGCTAACATCTCGTGTGTGAGGTACTGACAGGCTGAACAATATCATACTATATGGTAGACTGAATTGTTATAAATAATATCTATCCTAATATATATATATATGCGCGCGAGGGGGCATGCGCATTGTCATTCTTATAGACTTTGTTATTATGTGCTTCTTTCAATATCTTACATTTTATTTGTTGCTTCGCGAAATATCCTAAATTGTGCACATAAAAATGATTGAAACCATGATTTTATAAATGGGTCAAGTGCAAGAACCACTCTCACTGTACACAAAAGTTGCATAAAACTCCATATTATTTTTTTTGGTGCAAGAAACCCCCTATTATTTGTTTAGGTGCAAATTGCCCCCTAATTAGCCATTTTGACCAATTTTTTATTTATTAAAATCCCAAAATGCCCTCCTAATGCCATCCCCGGCGAACACCATTTCTGGCCAAGCTATATTTTTTCTAAGTGTTTCAATTGAAAACCCATTTCTAATTTCTGATTTTTGTGATGGAAGATGATAGCAAGCATGGTGGTAAAGCGTCGGCACCACCATCCACCACCGTCGTTTGCCCTTTCCTCATCCCTTACCTTCAAGCAACCACCGCCTCTTCCACAGCAATCCCCACAAAATCATAGCCTCCTCCGTCACCATCACATAGCCCCACCATCATCTCTTTCCTAAATCTGAAAACCCAGGTCGATGGATAATCAAGCCTCCATCAATGGCGCATCTTGGCGCTTGTAGGCGCGTGTGCCGCTGTCGGTAGTCACCGGTCTGGATTGAAGTTTGCTATTGATAGTTGGTTGTCATCGTCAACTCAGAGCTCCTCACCGGAGTTCATAGTGTTGATGAAATGGTTCTTAATTTGAGATGAAGCTCTGCTCTCCATTTTGGGTCGTTGACGCTCTATTAGTCTTTAATGCACGTAGACTCGCCGGAGTTGGGACACTCACCCCCGGAAATGGTGCTTGCCGAAAATGGTATTCGGCAGGGAGTTGAACTGACACAGCGGCTGGTAAGCAATGAATTGAATGAGTGGCGGCAAAGAACAGACCTTACGGCGGCGATGCAAGGAAGACAAGCATAGCGGGCAACTGTCTTGCAATTCTGTAAATGCTTTATTTATTTATTATTTACAGAGCTATCTTCAAATTACTCTCCCAAGTCAAAATCAATGTCCACAATCTTTTGTAAAAGTTCACTGAAAAACCAATCCGGATGCATACAAAACAACTACGGGAATGTTGGCGCAAATCTGTTGACTATGGAGTGGTCGAAGGGAGTCTTTGGGATAAACGAAGCTTCAGAGACGCATTAATCTAGAGAGAGAAAAGGAGTTTTTAATTGAATGGATTTCAATTCTCAGTTTAATGGGTCCATATCTAGAATCAATCTCACTGCTTTACCAACACAATTGCTATCATCCTTCGTCACAAAAATCAAAAATCACAAATAGGTTTGAAATACTTTAAACACAAAAAAAAAAGGATATATATATATATATATATATAAAAAATCTTGGCCAGAAATGGTGTTCACCGATGATGGCTTTCACTGCACTAGGAGGGCATTTTGGGAGTTTAATAAAAAAAATTTGGTCAAAATAGCTAATTAGGGGGCAATTTGCACCCAAAAAAACAGTAGGGGTTTTTTGCACCAAAATAAACAGTAGGGGTTTTTTGGCACATTTTATATATAACAAGAGTGGTTTTTGCACTTAATCTTTTTATAATTAAAATCTATATAATATTCCATAAATATATAAGTGGATGACACTAAAATTATATTTAGAAATATATGCCTTAAATTAAAAAAAAAAATCAGCTTTAATTTCGAACTAAATTACTTCTGATTTTAAATTCAAAATATGAAACCGAGAATAGTAGCACATTCTATTATTACAATCCATGTGGTGGGGTTTGAAAGAAGGGCAGCTTTAGGGTTTTCCTCCTTTTTGCAGACTAGAGGGTACCCTATACCATATGATATATTTTGTGCTTATCTTATACAGATTTTGAGATGAGATATGATACTCGAGCATATAATATTCAGATGGAGTATGAATGGACCTCAATGCAACTTTATCAAATTTGTGGAAGTTCATCATGACCTAGAAAGCTGCAAAAGGCTATGCTATGCCCTAAATTATGAAGTAGGTTTCTTTTTCTGGACAATATCACCACTTACTTAAATTGGTCTCCTCTCCAACAACTATAGTATGTTAGAATATTGAAATTGGGGGATTAATCTAATCACAAGTTGGCAATATTTGGGATTGAAAATGAGTTTGTGGTTGGCTTTGTGTCTTCTTTTTGTTAGCTGCCAATGTCACTATAATAACATTATCTTTACATTTTTTATATTTTCCAACTGTGGATGCCTGATTTTTTTAGAACGTGTTGTAATAGAAACATAAAATTTTAAGTAAATATAAGGAAAAAAAACAAGGAAAAAGTAATTATATTTTTATATTATAACTTAAATTTGAGTAAAAATTATATCTATATAATCAAAAAATTTATTGTAAAATTAATTTGAATCCTAACTAAACTGAAAAACGAGAAACAAAGTCTTCACAATATCAAATTCAACTTAAATGGAAGGACAAAACTTGTGTTAGGCTACGTCAGTAGGAATTATATCCTTAATGTCATGCCTTTCAACCGCCGTGACATTATGTTGACATGGACTAGTGAGAGTATGCAACAAGTAAAATAAAAATTACCAAAAAAAAAAAAAAAAATTGTCTTAAGCCGCATCGGCGGGTATTATCACCATAAAGTTATAAGTACATTTATTTTTATGATAGAGAATCTACATTGTAAAAGGAAAGATTGAAAGAGAGAGAAAAAGATTTTTTTTCTTTGGGAGAAAAAAAAAAAAAAACAGTTGTAATTGCAGGGGCTTTTGGAGATTTCATTCCCGTTCTATCTGGATTTTGTTTGACATCTTGCAATGAAATGGATTGGTCACATAAAATCTGTGCCAAAAAATACATAAATAAATAAACATTGCCCACAAGTGGAAAACTCCTGAGAGCATTTCCAGGTTAAAATTAAAATATATATTTTTTGTTTGTATAAAATATAAACTGCCATTTATGATATGTAAAAATTTTTCATCTCCAATAATATTTTAAGATAGATTGTCACATCACTAATGTATAAAAGAGATACATAACCTTTTTACACTGCTAGATTAACATATTCCTTTTTTCATCCCTCTTTCTCATTCCATTAAAAAATCAATAATATATTAAGTAAGTTCATAAAAGATATGTAAGGTCTTGACGTGATACATGATTAGTTATTATTGGGAGATATATTTTTACATAAAAAAATATAAAATAACTGTTGAAATTCAAATTAAATAATTCAAATTTTTTAAAAATATATATATATATATTTTTAAAAATATATATATATATACACACACCCAACAATTGGTGATGCTCTGATCTTTTTGTCAACAGTAACTGATGAGACTCTCTTGTATTAGTATTACTTTTTCTTTTCTTTATTTTTAATTTTTTTTCTGTCTCTCCACTTTTAAAGTTTAGAAAGCTACAAAAACCCTGTCCCTTTCCTTTCCAGCCATTTCCGGGTCTTGTTTCTCTTTTCATTTCTCTCTCTATATAGAAAAATACACACAGTGTCTGCACATTGATTATTGATTATCCATATGCTGCTGTATCTTGTCACTGGTTTCTAGTTGATTTATTCATCTCATCTGTGTGTGTATTTATATGTACAAGTTGCTGCTTACCCTTCTCGCTTCAACTCCGAATCTTCAGACATTCTTGGAGGTTTCTTTCAAATTTTTGGCTTTGCTTAATTAACAATACTTGAGCTTTCAGGATATTTTGTGCTTCCATTTCTGAGGTATGTTCAATACCCATTTCCAAATTTCGGGGTTCCTTTTTTTTTTTTCTGCAATATAAATTGTAAATGAATGGTGGTGGTGGTTGAAACTTGCACACTATTTTCCGACAAATTTTTTTTTTTTTTTTTTTTTTTTTTTTTTTTTTTTCCCCTTTCGATTAGCAAGAAATAGAAAAGCATATGATTTTGAGCTCAAAAAAGCCCCATTTACTCCACTTCTTGAATATAAATATCAAAGGAAATGAATTGCAGGAGTTTTATTGGGGAGCCAATATTATTTTCCTGCAGAAAATATTTTTTAGGGCAAAAAAAAAAAAGGCTTAGGAGGGTGACTAATTAGTTGGTTAGCTGACTTGAAAAGTGTATATTTGTTAAGTGAGTTTTGATATGAAAATAAAAAGCTCAGATCATTTGAGTCAAAAGCTGTAGCAATTTATTCGGCTTGTATAGCAGGGTTCTATTTCTTATGGAACGACACCATCCATGGGGAAATTTTCTCAATGAAGAACTGTCACTTGCTTTTATTAATTTCCAAAATTAGGCTTACGGCATTGTTTGGAAAATAATAATCATAATAATAATAATTTCTAGGAAAATATTGTGCACTGAATATCTTGTTTGAACTAGTGGATGTATTTTGGTTTCAAGAGAATGTGAAAGACTATTACATGAAATTCTTTTAGCAGCTTCATAGCATATAACCATACAAGTGAACAATGAAGTTTGACTCTTAGGGAACTTTTTGCTAATTTGCTGTATATCTTAGGAGAGTTATTTCTTGCAAAATTTTGATAAAATTGTAACTCACACTGGAACACACAATTTTCAGTTCCCAAATGTTTACATGGCCAAATAAAGTTACTCTCTCCATATATGTTTAGAAGAATTTGTATGATGCAACTTCAGAAATATATATATATATATATATATATATATATATATATATATATATATAGTTTCCACAATTCGATTCTGAGAAAAGTCTCGTGGCTTTTTTTTTTTTTTTTTTTTTTTGTTCCCTATAAAAACCAACCAAAGGCATAGAGCACAATCATTTATAGTATTGAAATCATCTTGTGGTGGACCAGGTCAATGATTATAAGAAACTTGAAAAAAAATAAGAGTGTATGAATTTGAGCTACAATTTAAATCATGACTTTTGGACTATACTGAAGGAAAGTCTAATCAATGTGGCCTTGTGGGTCTAGTAGGTAGTAGTGCAGATTAAAAGGGATTAATTGGTAAGCTTGATGCTTGGCAGGTTGGGTGATTTAAGGTACAGATTAGTTGATAAGATTGCAGATTCTGAGGCCTCTGCAATGGACTCATCATCATCGTCTGGATCTTCAAAGAAAGCCAAGCCCGGTAATGTTACCCAAGTCGTTTCGTGCTTGGTTGATGGTTGTAATTCAGACCTTAGTCAATGCAGGGAGTATCACCGACGACATAAAGTATGTATTATCCATTCTAAGACCCCAAAGGTTACAATTGGGGGTCGGGAGCAACGGTTTTGTCAGCAGTGCAGCAGGTAAAAAGTTCAATTTTTGTCATTCCACCTTCTATGTTCTGTTCAATTTCTATCTTTCAGTTCATTTCCATCCTGCTGAGGTTTTCTACTAAAATTTAATCCAAGAACAGCATAGTATTTCATTTTGTGCCACTGATGCATGTTCATCAAGCCTTCTCTGCTCTCTGGTAAATTCACCAGCCACCAGTTTTCTGATTGCATTTAGCCCTTAGAGTTTATATTTCTCAGAAGCAACTGGCCACCCAGTGCATTTTAATAGACCTCTACTGAGCACCAGTCAATTTCCAATTTTTATTAAAATTATTGTAATCTGGACTGTTTTAAATAGTTTCGTGTTGCTAGTTGTATCTCATATTGTCATATTTCAGAGTTCCTCTACTTAAATTTTGGATTTGGTTCTACTCAATCGCGTCATATATCTTAATGTTGTTATTCTGCCAAGGCAATATGTTTTTGATAATAATCCCTCTCTCTTACATCAAAACATGTGCATATTTCCCTGTCCAATGCAATTGAATGTGTTAATTCTCTTTATTTCACCTTTATAGGTGTCTATGGTGCCTCAGTTTAATTGATTAACCTATTTTACAAATTCTGGAATCTATTTTTCACCTAATTGAATGCAAAACGCAATTCAAGCTTCTACTGTGTTGCCTTATGCTTATGTCTGTCATGCTCTTTATACTCTGAAATATGAGGGCTCTTTGTTAAGTTATTGTTCTAATTGTTTGAGTGGCTTGTGACGTACTCGAGCAACATTACAAATAATAACCATCTCCGTGTGTGCCCGTGTTCCACTATGCACTTACTGCATAGGGTTTATATGTGAAACACGTCAGGGTTGGATAGAGGGTATTATGTTGATACTTGTAGAGAAGAACTATAAAATGTCATGAATACAATAAGTAATCTGTTTGCTGTTTTTTTTTCTTCTTCTTCTTCTTTAATGTATGTCTACATTTTGTTTGGAACCAACTCCAAGGCAAATTGAGATGGAACTTCTCCACTCCATAGACATTGCCGGTGTAGTCATCCCTAATGCTGAGAACCAAGGAATGGACTATGGAGGGATGGTATTAGGATTTCCTAGTTTTTGAATCATGTGTTATTTCTATTCAGATTAATTTATAATGCTCTCTGAATTACTATAAAAGCTTTCTTCTTTAATATTTCCGGTTTGTTATACTTAATGACATTTTTCTTTTTAGAACTTTTTGAAAAATGATTACCTTTTTATAGGTTTCATTCACTAGTAGAGTTTGATGACGGCAAGCGAAGCTGCAGGAAACGTCTAGATGGCCACAACAAACGCCGAAGGAAGCATCAGTCCGAATCTCTGCCCAGGAATCTTGGAGGGTTTCTTTCTAATCACCAAGGTTTGGATTTTATGTAGTTCAAAACCAGTAGGTACAGTTCATGAGCAATAAGGTAACAGAAACAAGTGGGGACTTATTTTGCTGCAGGAACTACTACATTGTTGTCGTTCAGTAGTCCCCAAGTATCAAGTGCTGTAGTGAGCTCTGCTTGTGCTGGATCAATCAAATCCGAGAAGAATCATGTGGTGTACAATACTCATCCACACTTGGACTACATCGACAAACTTCATGGATCTTTAGCTCACAGTCACAGCAACAGAAGGGGAAAGCAGTTCCAAATCTTGCAAGGCAACTACACCCCTCTCCGGGAAGCTTGTATCAGTCAACCCCTTCAATACAACAATTCTGCACCTGGAAATAATAGTGATAGCAGCCGGAAAATGTTCTCTAATGGGCTCGATTCTGAATGTGTTCACTCTCTTCTGTCATCAGCACCGGCTGAAACTCGGGATGTTGGTTTGAGGAGGCTTGTGGGGCAGCCTGACTGCATTCCCCCAGCTCAATCCTTAAACCACGATCTGCAGCACTATAATAGCGGTCTAGCTCAGTGTCTTTGCTTTCAAGGAGTGGAAAGAAAGCCAGTAGTTTCTGATTTCAACTCTGATGGTAGTAGTAGTAGTAGTAATGCCAATCTTCATTGTCAGGGAATATTTCAGCATCAAACTAATGGGTCATTCAAGTGGTACTAGTGGCCTCCTTTATCGTCAAATGGATTAGCTTCTGAGAAGAGTGTTATTTCTAAGATGTGATTGTTTGTACCACGTTTGTATGAGAAGAGTTTACATTGAAATTAAGCAATGTGTGTGCATAAGAAATCCAAGTTGTTTGTATTCAACTCATATGCATTCTTGGTAGAATAATGATAAGTAGAACGAAAGTTGTTGATGTATCCGACCGTGGAGATGACATCATCATAACAACGTTATTAAATATAATGATGTCATCTCTTACTCGCATAATTTTAGTTTGTGTTTTGTATCGTCACTCACCTCCCCATCCTCCTCAAATCAAATAATACTAACCTCCCCATCCTCCTCAAATAAAAGGAGAGAGATTCGAGCCCGGCTGTGAGTGCACATTAAAGTTCTGGGATAACACAGTGAGGAAACCATTGCCAACCGCTGCTGTCATGTCTATTTTAGAACCAGTGTTGCAACCCTTGCTTTATTAAATTTCCTATCACAAGACACCTTCTAGGCCTCCCATTAGAGGGCATCTACAAAAAGCCCATCACCAACTTTGTGTATGGTTAAAAGCCAACTTAATTATCCTGTTTTGGATATACAAATTCAATCTATGATAAAACTGGTACAACATTATTTTTTAAAAAAATATTACACTCACATCTGCTGAAGTATAGTATAATTACATATGCCTTCCTTATTTATTCAAAAATTACACTAATTTCCCATAAGGTTAATACTTTATAAAATAAATTATTTCGCTACCATTAACAAAGTCAAATAATATAATCTACTAGTATCAGCAAAATTAAATAACAAAATGTCATATTTGCCCATGTTTTTACAATTTAACTTCAGTTTTGAACTAAAATAGCTTAGTTATACACACATATATATAGATGTGCACATATTAATTAAGATAAATTACCCTAACCCTCTATGAGGTTTGGGCAAATTAAATATCGGTAGACCGTTTAGTATTTGTTAGTTTGACCTTCCTTGGTGTTTTATTTCCGTTTGATTTGGTGACCAAATTTTATAAAATGACAAATTTGCCCATCCCTTATATAAAATGCAATATAATAAATTATTATACTATAGGGACATTACTGACTTTTCACACAGTCACATTCTGAAATGTGGAATTTGCTCAAACCTCACTAGGATCATTGTACCTTACCCTATTGATTACTAGCTTGTACCTTGTGACTACATGGTAGCATGTGACTGGGTTGCTCAACAGAACAGTGAAGTGTGGTTCAACCGTAAGTTGTTGCCAAAACCTATTAATGTTGGGGATGTTATGTGTCATTCGTGAAGGTCCTTTCCTACCAGCTCAGATACGAGAACATGAATGATTCACACACCTCAATAACATTCCTTATGCTTTTGCTAATTCTTGTTTTGATCAAACATTTTTTCCATGCAAGGAATATGTTGAGTTTAGTACGTTTTTAAAGCCATTTATGTTTTTTTGGATTATGTTGTTAACAATCAAGATCCAAATAAGCACTATAATTAGTGACTTTTGCATTTGGCAACGCAGTTTACTTATATTTTAAACTCATATTCTAAAAGTTCGAAAACAAATTAGACACACTAATATCATTTCAATCTAAAAGTGGGAGTAGGTATAGAGTGAACAGGCATAACACGTCATTTGTATGCCTACTTAATAAAAATCTAATAGAGTCTATTATTTTTACTAATTTTTTAAAATAAAAAATAAAGAAAGAAGGAAATAAAAAGAAGAAAAGGAAAAATGGGAAATAAATAAAAAATAAAAATAAAAAAAAGTTAGTAATACTCCTGGGAAGTTTCTGTCTGGAATTGGGCTTGCCTGGACCGAATTTTTCGTAAACCCAACTTCCGCAGACAGAATTCTTGGTCTCCAATCCACCAACCTTCGTTTTTATTGGGTTACGATTTTAGTATAACTTTGAGCCAAAAATTAAGTTTTGTAGTTATGGTTACTGCCCGAACCAAAGTATGACCCAACCCAAAATTAAGTTTACAGTTATTCTGGCCCAGTCTAAACAAAGTATGGACCCAACCCAAGCCGCTTTAAAATAATTAAAACATGCTATCTTTTAAGTTAAAGTGCAAAAAAAACTCCTAAATTATATCCAAATTTTTAAATAATTCCTTTGAAGTATATTTTGTGCACAATACTTCCTGAACTATCACATTTTGTTGCAAAATGAATGTCTCCCATGTATGGACTATTTTTATTAAATGACCATATTGCCCTTTTCTTATTGAATTACACTTAATTCATTTTTTTATTAAAATAAATTATGAAAAAATTTCGTACTAATTTGATGACATATTCTCTATAATATTTGCATAAATTTATCTTTAATTCTTGAATTATTTATTTAAATAAAAATCTTAAGTATAAAATTTTAATATAATTTAAGTAATTTTTAAATTTTTTTATGTATATATTGAATGAAAAGGAAGGTATTTTTTTATTTAAGTATTTTATTAATTTTTTGTGAATATATTGAATGAAAAATAAGCTATTTTTTACAGTAAAAAAGTTTAAACTGAGTATAATAAGTTTTACTATAGATAGTAACGTTGAAATAATAAGTTAATCATTTTTAGAAAATGGTAATTACAACTCTCTTTTTTTTTTCCCCCCATTTTTATGATAAATTGATACTGATTGTAAAATTAAAGCAAATGATATAAGTAATATTTCGATAAGGGGAAAGATAATAAAAAATAATTTAATAAGAAATGGCATATTTAATGAAAAAGAGTATAAATAGTCTTTTGAGGTGAGTTTTTCTTTAATTACACCAAATAATTAGTTCAATGGGGCAATTCATAATTTTGGAGATTTTTTTGTACTTTATATTTGATGAGTATTACACCACAAATAATACACTATTATGTAATGAGTTTGATGAAACATTCATCAAGCATAGTTTATTACAAGAAAAAAAAAAAAAAAAAAACATCTTAATTCCGTTTTTCAACTTGTAATAAAACTTCTTTTGAAATTTAAGCCACCATTTTAATATTTTATTGCCTCAATTCATACAAGTGTTAGATAATGTGAATTCGAGAAATTCTTAAGGTTATATTTGACTGCGTTGAATTAGAGTTTTAGAGTTGGAGAAAAAAAATTACAAAATTGAGCTAAATTTTTTTCCAGTTCCATAACAATTTTAATTTCAAAGTTCAAATTCCATAATAATACAAATATTGAGAAATTTGGTTGACTTTGGATTGCACCTTGTAATTTGGGTTGATTTCAGTTAAAAGCACAGGCGGACACAGAGGGGGGCTTGGGTGGGCTTGAACCCCCAGAAAAAAAAAAAAAAAAAAAAAAAATTAGTATTGTATTTTCAGCCTAATTTTTTTTAAATTTTTTTTTTAATAGTAGTATTAGCCCCCTTTTTAACCCATTCAAAAAAAATTTGCTTATGAAATTGTGTAATTAAATTTATGTTCAATACTAGCCTCCCATTGACAATTCCTGAATTCGCCCTTAGTTAAAACACAGTACATATATCATATACTAAAATATATGGCGTTTAAGTTTGGGCTACCTTGGTGCAAACAATTTTATTTATTTATTTATTTATTTATTTATAAATGCAGGCCTAAGTAATATAGTAGCAATGATCCTTTTACATTTTACCTAAAAAAAAAGAAGATGCTTTTACAAATATTATTTAAAAATTCTATTAATTGGTGACATTTTGAGGAACTGTTTATGAAATGCTTCTAACTAATTTTATTTTTGAAAATAAATCCTATTATATTGTTAATTATTAGAATATACATGCATGTATAAAAAAATTAGCATACTTGAGAAAAACTAATAATATTCTTACATATATATTTCTTGTCCTGGCCAATAATTGCATAACCAAAGATTTGATGTAATGATATAAACTTAATTTTGGGCTCGTGAAAAAAAAAAAAAAAAAAAAGGAAAAGAAAAAGAAAAAGAAAGAAAGAAGGTTGACAGTCAAGGATTCATGTATTGGCATGAACACAGTGGGAGTACGTTATTTTTACAATTATTATAAAAAATATATATATGAGAATTTTTAACTAGTTTTTATATATATATATATATATATATATATATATATATATATATATTTCTAATGAGTTTTGTCACATGTTGGATGATCCACTAATGACTAATCATAATATTTGTTCTTCCCAATGTTGCTCTGACTACTACTAAATTTATTTTAACAAATAAAATAACTCAGCTATTTTTAATAAAACAAAGTGTAAAGAGTAACTTTAAAATAAGAGAAAAAGTGCTATGATAGAGATTGCATCATCATTCATTGAATCTATTGAATATGAATGTTAATCCGTTTGTGATGGAGATTCTTTCTTCTAATTGGTTTCGAGAATAAAAATCTTTTTACAATTTACCTTCCTGAGAGTCGTGATGGGTTAGCTTTGACATCCATATATTTTTTTAAGAAAAATAATTAAATTAAAAAAAAAAAAAATTCCAAGATAATTTTTGTAAGAAAAAATTAGTATAGTCAAATATTAACTAATACGAACCTTAAATGGTAAGAGAGAATTATTCCTGATGGACAGATAGGGGAAGTAGTCCCATGGTAGGGAGCACACAAAAACTTTTTACTTCATTCATGATTTAGTGCTCGAAAAACTACTGTTCTCGCTGAAAAAATAATATTTTCTCTATTCTTAAAAAGATATCAATTTTTTTTTTTTTTTTCTTTATTATGTCCCAAAATAGTTATCCACTTTCTTTTTTCAAACAATATATTTTACATCTTTCTATATATGTTCTTAAAGTTTAAAATTTCGAACTTAAATATAAGGGCAAATTATTAACTTTTCAATGGGATAAAGCATGTTCCACATGTTCTCTTAAAATTTTCTAATCCTCAAAAGTGACATTTAAAATGGGACAGAGAAAATAATAAAAATATTATTAAATTTTAAAATTATCATAAGAAATAAAAAGAATTAGTAATTAAACGAGTTCTAAACTCTCTTTTCAAGTTAGCCTAATCTTATTAGGATGATTATGGAGTCATTACAATAGGGACAGAACGGTCCGAATGAATGATCATCACTTCATCCAGCGGATTCAACGGAGGGAGGTACGAGCTCACCATAAATTGGCCGTATCATAGACT